CTGTAGATAGGTAATTGAAATTTCAACCGTGTGTTTATTTTAATATTTTCTATACATCAATATATTTCTTTAGAATTTTTTCAATATTTTTAATCTGTTTAAAGATACAAGAAAMTGTATTCTATTATATGTTTCTTAAAACTATTCTTTTAAAATTTATCAAAATCTTGAAAATTTGCAAATTATTTTGTAACTTTAGTAAAATTTAAAACAACAATTCTTATACCTAAATAGTTTATACTATAGCCTATAACCAAAGAATATAAGATAAACTATAAGTTCCAAAATGTACGGGGGTAGATACTTGAAACTTTTAAATTATAATATATTATTATTATTTTTTTTTTTGGTTAGAACAGACAGCAGAGGAAATATATTATTATATTGGTCGTGATGGTCAAGAGCAGCTGATGTCTGGTGTCAATATCACTGCTATGAGTGCAGTAGCTATCACCATTATTCTATGGTATCACAGGAGATAATAATATTATGAACAATAAATATTATGTTTATATAATATCAGTCTGCGTACCTAACCTGCGTACTGCGTTATTAAATATTTGAGAATTGTTGATTGTCACCGATTGTTGAATAAAAATCCGTAATTGTTAATTGTTATTGTTATACACTTTTACTACTTATCAGTCAAATTCTCTAATCTAGTAATCTCTAACTCATCAAACAATTGCTGAAATATCTCCGACTCCGAGTTGTTGTTTGAGCAAATACTAAAGTATTTTGTTTAAGTGTTCAAGAACAGACATTTTACAAATTTTTAACACACCGTGTTCATACTTAAAAAAATTAAAATATTTTACTTACATTTTGAACTTATAAAATCGCTTTAATTACTCTTCAGCAATGCCTATGGACTGTATGGATAATGTGAACTTGGGTAACTGTTTGTGGTTTGAAGGAGGAAGTGAAAAAAGAAATGTTGTTGCTGGGATGATATCTGGACTTCTAGTTCGTGAATTTTATATTATTTAGAGATTTAATTATTAAATATTGCTAATTATTGCTTAATAGTTTGCAGTCGGATGGTGGCTAATAATTGACGGCATGGCTGTAAACCCTAGTCAAGTACCTGGTACCTATCACATATGTGGATTGGTTGGAACATTTTCATTATTTATGTAAGTGTACATTTAATTAAATTATTTTACATATTTTTTTTAAATTGAAAAACTAAAGATCCTAGAATTATTATTTAGGTTAAAAACAGTGCCTCAATTTAAAATTACTATAATCATATAGCCTAAAACACTATCCAAAAGTCTAAACAGTTTGTAATGGTGAATGGTCCCTTATAATTGATAGGTATCGAGATGAAATTATGAAATATTTATATAATAATTAAATTACAAAAAAATTAATAAGTACATACTATCAATTTAAGCCAAATGGTTTAGTATTATTTTGGAGATCTCAAATGTTTATTTTTATATTTTGTTTAAAAAAATTTAACAACCAGATATAAAAAAATTTATATTTATATTTTTAAAAATATTTACAAGATATTAAATCAATACTTAAAACAATATTGCAAACAAAAATGAACATTGATTAGTTTAAAAAATTTTAGGTTACAAAAATACTATACTTTTCAAACCTTTGGTTAGATTACCTCTTAGATTACTCGTTATGTTAGCTCAAATCTATACTTAAAAAACTCCCTACTAGGTGGACTATTTCCACTACTGAGCTTTACTTATAGGTCTGACTGGGACCTCAAGTTTGGTGACTGAACTTGGTAAGTGTAGAAAACAACTACTTSTCGTAATTAAAAACTGTAAAACTTAAAGAAATATCAACTATAACAAGGTGGTAGGTATTCTAAATAGTTCTTAAAATATTTTATTACCATGTTTTGGCCAAAGTATAAAAGTTCTGCATCTGAACGTAAAATTAAAATTTTTAACCACACTTGGATTTTGATTCGTATGATTATTTAATATTCACTGTAATAAAAACATTATAGTATAGTTTGAGATAATTTTTTTTTTTTGCTTATTATTTCGTATTAAAATTAAAATTTTTTTTTTAGGATTAATGTTGTATCTAATTCTCAAATTCGAGGAGAAGCTTACTCAGGAGGATGGTTTGGACCTAGAGGAGCACGAAGTTGGTTGTTTATGGGTTTTGTATTGGGTTTTGCTGCTTTGATTGCTGCTTGTTGGATATTTTTTGCCGACTTTGTAGCAGCTAAAAGTAAGACATCTGTATAATTAACTACAATTAATTATTAATGTTTTTCAGTATTTTGGTATACATTTTAAACTCATTTTTATTTGTAGGTTCAATCAAACCAAATATGACAGTTGGACTTG